AGCACCGACAGGCCCATGCCCACGGCCTCGGCGCGCCGGGAGAGAACCGCGGGCGGGAGCTGGCTCTGGCCCCCGCAGGCCGCGAGGCAGCCCCCAGTCCGAACCGCGAGGGCGCTGGGAATGATGGCCAGGGCTCCAGTGGACTGGCCAGCCTCGTCCAGCACACGCGCACGCACGCACGCACGCACGCACGCACGCACGCACGCACCCAGAACGTGGCGGGATGATCACGACCGGAACCCCTGACCTCCTCGTGCTGCGGCACCTCTCGAGTCGGATCGGCCTCCGAAGGCCCCGGGGCCCGAGTCCGGGCGAGAACGCCCGCTGCCATCGGAGAAGTACGTCGCCTGGGTGTCAGGGCCGTCGAACTCCTCGGTGCCGACGCTCTTGTCCACGCCCTTTTGCGCCTTCAAGGGGCGCGGCTCTGCTGTCTCCGATGGTGGCCGGCAGAGAGCAGCGATCACGACGGAGATTGCCGGCTCCTTTCCTCCCGGAGCACGTGCGCCTAAGAGCCTGTTTCTTTACTGCTTGGGCCATAACGCGCGTTACGGCCCCCCCGCCCCCCCCCCCCCCGTCCCATAACGTAGCGCTCTGGCCTCCAGTGCGTCCCCGGCCTTGCCGCAGTGCGCATAGGATAGGGATCCGTATAGGAACTCGAATAGGGATCCGCATTGGCATCCGCACAGAAATCCGCATAGGGATCCACATCGGGATCGCATAAAGATGTCCATCGGGATCCGCAGCGGGATCCGCATTGGGATTCCCAGGGATCCTTATAGAGATCAGCGTAGTGAACAGGGATCCGCATAGGGATCCGCATGGCAACTCGGATGGGCATCCGCACAGGAATCCGCATATGGATCCGCATCCGCATCCGCATAGGGATCCGCATAGGGGCGGCGGTCTCGGGCAAGTTGCGGTGCTCTCAGGCACTTGCTGTGGTAGGGCGAAAAGGACGACGACGACGAGGAGGAGGAGGATGGAGGAGGGAGGTAAGCAGCATACCTCTTGTACGCCACGTGGAGGCAACGACGCCTTCGCATGCATGTGCTCGCCACAACTCCCCGTCGCTATTCGTTGTCGGTCGTCGTCGTTGTCGTCGTCGTCGCTCGTCGTCGTCGTGGTTGTTGTCGTCGTCGCTCTTCGTTGTCGGTCGTCGTCGTCGTCATTATCGTCGTCGTCGTCATCTTCGTCGTCGTTGTTGTCGTCGGTCGTCAACGCTCGCGGTTGCTCGTCGTTGCCAAACGCCTTCGAATATTTTCGAGGGCCTCTGGAGGCCTTTGGATGACCTCCAGAAGGCCTCTGGAGGCTTCCAGAGGCTTCAAGAGGCCTCCAGAGGCCTCGGGAAACTTCTGGAGACGTCCAGAAGCGTCGCCCGTCGTCGTCGGTGTCGTCGTCGTCGTCGTCGCTGTCGTCGTCAACGTCGTCGTCGTCGTCGTTGTCGTGGTCGCTCGTCGCCGTCGTCGTCGTCGTCGTCTCGTCGTTCGTCGTCGCTCGTCGTCGTCGTCCTCGTCGTCATCGTTATCTTGGTCGCTCGTCGTCGTCGTCGTCGTGGTCGTCGTCGTCGTCGTCGTCGTCGTCGTTATCGTGGTCGCTCATCGTCGTCGTTGTCGTCGTCGTCGAAGTCGTCATCGTAGTGGTCGTCGTTGTTGTCGCTCGCCGTCGTCGTCGTCGTCGTCGTCGTCGCTCGTCGTCGCTCGTCGTCTGCGTCGTCGTCCTCGTCGTCGGCGATGTCGTCGTTGTCGTCGTCGCTCGTCGTCGTCGTGCGCGCGGACGTTCTGGTGGCTCTGGAACCGCACGGCGGGGAGGGCATTACGTTATCGCCCCACTCCCGCCCCCCCCCATAACGCTCGTTATCGCCGCGAATAAAGAAACGCGCTCTATGTTTGACCACCGGCTTTGCGCAGGGTCGGCCCGTTCGAAGTCCCGTCGCTGCTGCGGGCGAGGCAGGGCCCAAAAATGATTTCTGGGGGCTCGCGTCTGGTCGGTGTCGGGGCCAGAACATGAGAGCCTCAACAAAGCCCCTGCGTTGGCCGGAGTTCTTCGACGACGACGGAGGCCTCTTCCACCACCTGCACAATAGGCGCTGCACGCTCAGAACTGCAATACAGAGGGCGCCCATGCCAAGAAACACCCTGCTTGCCTCCAGGGTGCCCTGGGTTTCTTGGGCTTCGATGCGTGGTCTTGCTGCGGAGAGCACGATGCCCCCACACCAGAACTCAACGGACGTCCTGGGGTCTCAGGGTTGGGCTTCTTGCTGAAGGCTTCGTGTGGACTGGCCTCCGCTGTAGGCCAGCGGCTGGCCGGCGGGGAGCGCGGCGCGAGCCGGCCTCTGGGAGCGCGCCCTCGGTCTCTGGGGGGACGGCCCCCGGGGGTCCGGCTCCGCCTCCTCTCCTCGATGGGGCGGGCGCTCTTGCCTGCACCTCCTCGGCGCCGCCCGGGGGTTGGGGGGGGGCTCGGCCTCCTCCTCCTCCTCCTCTTCCTCCTCCCCCTCCTCCTCCTCCTCCTCCTCCTCCTCCTCCTCCTAGTCGCTGTTTGAGGTGCCCAAGAGTCGACCGACCGCACCTCAAGTACAATCGTACACCAGCGATTCTGCGCCCACACCCGCAGGCCTCGGGGGCAGGGGAGACTGGGGGGCCCGCATGGCGAGCCTGTGCGCCTAGGCATGAGAATCTGCTACTACAACCCACAAGAGGCAGGGAGCATAGAACGACTGGAGGACATCAGCGCGGAACTACACAGCTGGGACGTCATTCTCCTCAGTGGAACATGCAGATGGGCGGGAGCAGAAGCGGTACAGAGACACTACCTCCCTAATCACTACGTGTTACAATTCGGTGCTCGCAAGGGGAAGTGGATCAACAAAAGCTGTGGCTTAACGATCCTCATCAGTCAGAGAATCGACGAACGCAGCTTACGAGAGACCTACACCCCACCAACCAGCCTCCAGGGACGGGTTGCAGGAATTCGCCTCTCGACTGGCCAACACGGCTATGTTTTTTTGTGTCTATTACTACGCCCCAACACACCTAGCGTACTACGTGCCATTAGCAGAAGCGATAACCAAATGGTTGGAGCAGTGTGTCGACCGAGTAGGCTGCCGTACGACGATAGTGATGGGCGGGGATGTGAACAGCGACTTTGGTTGCCAGAGAGACACAGACGGGACTATTGTGCGGAGCAGAGGACCGACGGTAGGAGACAGGGAACCCAAAATAGAGAATTCCAACGGCACGAGCCTTAGGACCCTGTGTCAGACCAGCGACCTCAGTATAGTCACCACTTACCACATCGCCGAACCTACATTCTACGGACATTCAGGTTACAACAGTCGTATTGACCACATTGTAGTACCTACAGGGGCCCTGGGACTCGTAAAAAGGTGTGAGGTCCTCCATCGGTCTGGCAAAAGGCTCCAAAAGGTCAAAGTACGAGGGCACAGGGACCACCTCCCCATCGGCCTCACCCTCCTCGCCTCTACCTCCAACACCTCCTTCCCCACGCGCGCCCGCCTACAACAGGGGCTGTGCAGGGACGGACTCATGGAGTGTTTGCGCAGCGGCCACAAGAGGGAGATGCTGCTCACCGAACTCGACAAGGAGGTGGAGGAGGTGGGTGGGGAGCAGTGGGAGAGAGCACTGGGAGCGGCGACGCCAGACGAGACCTGGGACCTTCTGGGAGGAGCAGCACGATCGGCCATGCTCACGACTTTCGGAAAAAGTGGCACACCCGACGAGATCGACCAGCTTACGAAGCGAGCCAAGCAATACCGACTCGAGCTCCTTAGGAAGCGACGAACACTGCGACAGAGCCTAACACCAGAACAGTGTGCCGACGACTACGACTGGGTACAAAACGAGCTGAAAGAAGTCACGGCGGCGCTGAAGCAGGCCCGAGAAGGTGTAGAGAAACAAAGAAGGGCGCTCCTGGTCGAACGCATATGGGAGGCCTACGAAAAACGGAACCTCGCCGAGATGCACCGACTACGCATCCAGTACCAGAGGAACGGACGCGGGCCAAAGAAAAGGTACTACCGATCTGCTCGAACCCACTGGCCTTGCGACTACTGGTATCAGGAGCTCGCCCATCCAGCTTTGGGAGGGGGACTATGAGCAAGGCCTATCGACAGAAAGGCAGAGAGAGCAGCACACGAGGCCTTCGTCCAGGAGCACATCGACCGATTGCCGACCGACCACGATCTTCTTTTTCAGGTCGAGGCCGACAAGCGAGCGATGCGTAGGTATTGCCAGCGAGCCAGTAAACGACGGGCCTGGCCACCATGGGGCATTCCGATCGAAATGACATGGTTGATGATCGATCCCACCCTCCATCTTCAGGACCCAGCAGAGCTCAGCAGACGACTAGAAGAAAAGCGAGTAGCAGCTGCAGAAAAAAAGGGGGGACGAAGATGAGCTTGCACACTACACGACACTGGGACGATGCAAGAAGGGGAGGGAACTGCTTCGACGGATGGGGTGGGCGGAAGGTACCAGGTTGGGACGTGTGCCGACGGCGACTGATGGGACAGAAGGAGCCGCCTGGGAGCAGCAATCTTATGCAGTGGGGAGGGGCAGGTACGCAGGACTAGGTGCAGACACGATTGCGGACCACAGCAAAGGGTACATGAAGTACCTAGACCAATTCCTTGCACAATGCCGAGGTTGTCAGGTCACCCCGTTGGACTGGCACCGATCACAAGCATTCCCAGCAGAGAAACACAACAACAAAGAAGGGATACTAGGGAAGCGTATACTACACGTCTACGATTCCTTTGGAATGGCTTGGCACTCAGGCATCCACGCACGTGGTTCACCCACAACGCAGGCGCCCTGGGCCCAAGGAGGCCTCCCACACCGCTGTCGGGAAAACGCCATCCTCTGCGTGCAAGCGGCCCAATGGAGGGCTGCACAAGGGGGGGTGAGCACAATAACAACCAACTACGACGGCACCAACGCGTTTGCAGCCACCAACCGAGCTTTACTCAGAGCGGTTGCCTTCAGGCAAGCACACGAGCACGACCAGCGCTTCGCCATGGCAGCAATTGACCACTCTACCCTGACGCTCGAAGCTGCCGACGGCACAGTCGAAGCTGAGAGCACCACAGGCGCCCAAATGGGCTTCGCCCTCTGCCCAAGGCAATTCAACGACGCATACAACCTGTACGTCACAAAATGGTGGGAACAAGGCCGCACGGACCCAGACCAGATTATCCACGACACGACCAGCCCAGTCGCAGGCAACACTCACGACTTAGCTCTCAACACGTTCATGGACGACATCACCTATGTGCAGACAATCTTACCCGCAGCGACGGCTGGAGATATTGAACAACAACTCAACAGCAACACAGAACGCCTTTCCCAAACAATAGCAGCAGGAGGATGGGGACTCAATAATGCCAAGACCAACCACCTACTATACCTAGTAGGGCAAGGCTGCTACGGGAAAACCAGACAACTCAGACGCAGCAAAACACTGCAAGGTCAGGCGCTAAGGGAGATGCGTGTACTTGGCCCCTACCTACCAGCTGGCCGGGGCATCACTGGCGAGGTCGTGCGGCGCATCGCAGCCATCCGCGTTGCATGGCGACAGTGCGGGATCTTCTGGACCTCTAAGGTACCCCGACAAATAAAACGCATGATGTTCATGGCCTTCGTGGTAGGTGCGGCCCTTAGCGGATTGCCTGCGCTAGTTCTGACAGATGCCCACACAACAGCAATCGACAGCGTACTAGGCAAGTACCTACGGACGCTAGCGGGAGGAGCAATGTCGTGGACCAGAACAGATGGGACAGTGAGGTGCAACAATTTGCGACAGGTGTTCAGATACTGGAGACTGGAACGCACATCCGTATCTTTGCTTGTGCGACGCCTACGATGGTACTAGAACTGGTCAAGGCACCCTTGGGAGCACGGGGCAGTCATCGCAGCGGTGTTCGGAACATCCAGACTAGACGCGGCTCAGGACATACGGCGACTAGAGGGGCAGGGATTCGTGGGGCCCACCTCCACCCCGTGGGCACAGCAGTTTGCAGCCGACATGCATGTGATAGCAACAGTGGACGAGAGCATGGGATGGTATGCAGACAGGGAATCCGACCTCGCCATATTCGAACAGGGGAGTACGGAACAAAAAAACTGGTTACAAACAGACCCATCAATATTGCACAGTTACGAGCGAAATTGGGATGTGCTCACGACACGAGATGCGACGATACATGAGGAGGAGGGCAGGGAGGAGGATACATTAAAACCTTATTGGTGCGATCATACGACGAAGGGCGAGAACGACACGGAACAGAGGTGTGGCATGCGCTTTGCGACATACGCAGCACTAGCTGGGCATCGCCGAGAGACCCACAACATCCGACCAGTGGTGGCGTCCGTAATCGTCAACAACCAGCAGTGTCCCTGGTGCAAGAGCACATGTATTAATCGTAAGGTATGTTCGGCCACGCAGTCAGGGCTGTACACGGTCACGGTATCTGCCACCAAGACAGGTCGATGTGGTCCCACCCCATTTCCGACCCCAGCTCCCTTAGCTGCCAGATCTGTAATCACGAGGCTCAAACTCTTGAGGATTACCACGCACACATACGCGAGCACATAGCAGGGCCAGAGTCGATCAGAGCAGCACGGGGAGAAGGAGCACATGTCGCACGGGGGCCACGGCGACTGGCGCATCAGAGCCAGCACGAAGAGAGGAGGGGGCGCAGCCGAAGGGCAGCGACCAGCACAGCGCCTACACCTCGGCGGAGGCGGAGTCGGCTCGTCAGACACGCAGCAGTCGCAGCAGACGCCGCAGCAGCCGCCCCCCACACAGCGCCGAGGAGGAGGCGGTCGAGGACCCCCAGGAGGCGGCCGTGGTGGTGGAGGAGGCGGCCAGGTGGAGCTTCGGGACCAGCTGAGATCGCTCCAGAGGCTCACCCTCCAGAACTCGAACGAGATTCGCAATTTTCTGCATCTCACGGGAGAGTTCTGGCTGACGCCGCTCGAGCCAGAATGGGTGCAGGCGCCGATGGAGACAGGCAGGGAGCACGGGCGGAAGGTAAAGCAGCTGGGCAAGGGGCACGGCCTCGGCCCACCGCACGGCCAGGTGGCGGCGAGCTTGGTCGAGGAGATCGTGGCGGTGCTCGATTCGGGGGAGCAGAAGCTCGACGCGCCCCTCCTCCACGTGAGACAGCTCCTGAAGGAGTTCATGAGCCAGCTCGACAAACCCTGGGGACCAATCTTCATCACGGAGGTCTTCTTGCAGTGCAAGATCCAGGAGGCATACAACAAGACGGGCGAGGACGTGGAGATGGACATCAAGCAGTGCAAGGCCAAGCTCATCTACACGATCAACACGGCGCCGAGCTTCAGGGCCGTGCTGTACGACCAGAAGCTCGAGCAGGAGCAGTACGACAAGATCGCGGGCTTCAAGGGGGACATATTCAAGCAGGCCCTGGGCCACGCGCTGGCGCACCTCGGGGCCACGAAGAGCCGTTCAGGAGGCCCGAAGACGGGCCTGGAGAGGGCAGTGGAGGCGCAGCTCAACAGGAGGTGAGCCAAGGCACGCCCCAGCCAATGCCCAGCAGCTCGCCCCGCCGCGAGCGAGAGAGCCCCGCGGGCCAGCTCCCACCAGGCCCGCAGCCCAGCGGAGCCAGCAGCTCGTTGTCGAGCAGCGCCGTCGAGCCACGCCTCAACTCCATGGGGCGCCCTCGTGCTTGGCCACCATCATCACCGCCAGTGAGCCGAGAGGAAAAAATGCACAGCAGATTAGTGCAGACCTTGTTCGTATGACGAGTCTCAGAAGCCAGGCCGAACAACACGGAGGCCAGATGGCATACCTATATCGGATGGCTACGTACTATCGGGACTTACGACCAAGGGACTATTACCAGCCTATGGCAAAAAAATGAGGGGGACGGCGGACCTTCTAATTATTCAGCCGTCACCCTACCATTACACGGGCTCCCACTACCTACGCCCCCTCCCCCCGCCAACTCCCACTCCCAACCTACCATCTCTTCCCTAGGCAATCAGCTCTCTACTAGTTCCACTCACAGTCGGGGTTTGTCTGTCATGCAGTATCGTGGATGCACGCTCGAAGCCGACGTATCCGCGACCTCGTACCGGACAGTATACAGAACGACAGTACATGCTACAGGGTACACATCGCGTACTATGACAGCATACACAGGGAACTACCACACCACAACATCCAGCACAGCCATGCGATTGTGATCCGACCACGGTTCGACCTCTCTTCTCCCGCTCAGATACATCCAGCTTTTGCCCGCTTTAGCTATCACAACTGTTACCTTTCTCGACCTCCAGAGGGTAGAGTGAGTAAGAATCGCACACTAAGGACAGGCACAGGATTCCGACAGCAGCAAACGACCGAGCCTACGCCTACTCTCACATCAAGGTCCTACTACGGTACCTTACGGCCCAACTACTGGGAACTAAGGAAACTACTACAATATCTAAGGTGTACAACAGTAGGCGGGAACCACTAAGGTAAACGAGGATCGGTACACAGCTCGACGTACTACCAGAGGACATTTGCGACTCGAGCATCTTCGCGGCCTCTCTATCCATTGCTGGCGGACACTCCGCCTACGTCCAGAGACAGCGCCCCGAGGGCGCACGACCAGAGCTGCGATGGCGGCGCAGGCGCACACGGAGAAGGGGGAGATGGCGCAGCAGCCAGCTGCAGAAGAGCATCTGCAGCCGACGATAGTGCAGAAGCCGCACAACAGAGGAGGCATGGGAGGAGTGGCGGACCAAGTGGCGGGCACGGCGGCGTACAGGCTCGAGATCGCGCGCAACACGCTCCAGAGCACAGCAGTCGCGTTCAAGGTGGCAACCGAGCACTGCGAGAAGGCCCTCCACGCGCTCCACAAACAGCGGGAGAAGGTGGTGACCACCTTAGGCCGCATGAACGCGAAGAGCCTCAATCCATATGAAGAAGCGGAGCGCAGCCAAGCGAAGCTCTACCTCAAGGAGCAGCTCCACGACATCAACTGCGCCATCAGTTCGATGAGGAGCGCCATCGGCATCACCGACGACAAGATGGGCAAGACGATGCACGGGCCGATGCCATGGGAGCTTGACTACACGAGGCGCCAGGCCGACGAGATCGACAACATATACACGCGCTGGACTAAGGGCCCGCACGGCTACGCCTACGACGAGGCCTTCTTCGCCTGCGACGCGCAGACGGAGCCGATGGTGGAGCCGCAGTCGGAGATCAAGGACTACCTCCAGCCCGCACGCAGGCCGCCGTGCACCAACCCGAGCAAGAGCATAGAGGGCTGGGAGAACCGTGGCAAGGTTCTGTGCAGTGAGGCCAGTTCAAGCACCTCAGCCGCCGCCTCCGCAGCCACTAAGGCCGACGGCTCCGCTCAGAGCAGGGACGTCAGGCTCTCTTCGCCAAGGGCGGCGGCTGCGGCAGGCTGGGGCATAGGGCAGCAGTAGAGAGCAGATTGTTGCAGGCCTGGCTTTCCCCTTTTTTTTCTCCCCACTTCTGCCAAGAAGGGGGGGCTCGGCAGCAGCACTCACCGCATGGGCCAGTGCGGCCATGCACCTCACAGCCGAGTACAGGGAGTACCAGGCCGCCACTTCTTTTTTTTGCCTCTCTTTTCCGTCTAGGGAGTGGGGGAGCGGGGGGGAGGATGGGGGAGCGGAGGTGGGCGGGCTCTCAGCGGTGAGGGGTGCGCCCAGCGAGGCAGCCCCACACCGCCTGCAACAGTCGACAGGCCGAAACCGAGGCAGGGTCTCCCTGCTAGCGAGGCTCGGGGACCACGTCCAACAGAGGGACGGGCCCCGTCGCCTCAGGCGGCCCCCCCAAAGCTAGGGTGGGCTCGCATCCATATATTCCCCAGGGGTCAGCATGCCTGTCGGTAGGCGAAGTTGACAGACCCCCAAGGGCCTTATCCTTATCCTCCTCCTCCTCCTCCTCCTCCTTCCCCACCTCCACCTCCTCCTCCTCCTGCTCCTCCTCCACGTCCTCCTCCTCCTCCTGCCCCTCCTCCTCCTCCTCCTCCTCCTCCTCCTCCTCCTCCCCCTCCGGATGCAGGGGGCCCGCAGGGGTCGTTACGCCACGACCCCGCGGTGCCCGCGCGGCGCCGCAGCGTGCCCGTGGGGAGAGAGTCGGCGGCGCGCCGCCGCGGCGTGCCAGGACGAGGCCAATGCCAGCGACCTGCCGCTGCCCGACGCCGGGGTCGCCCCTCCGCCCGCTTAAGCCGCCGCAGTTCTCAGACGATGCATAATATACGCATACACGCGTATGTGTACATATGC